GTAGCAGTTTCAAAAAGTATGGGCAGGCTCGGCTCGCAAGTTTGAGGGCACAAGGCATCCTCCTGGACGCATTTCGTGTGAAGCATACGCACCCGAGGGTTTAGGGTTTGGGCAAAAGGGTTTAGGGTTTAGGGTTTAGGGTTTAGGTTTAGGGTTTAGGGGCATAATCCCCAGACCCTAAACCCGATACCACAGATCCGCAAGGAAGACCGTGAACCATGCCTTTAAGGACTCGACAAAAGCACACGCGGCATTGTTTAGGGTTTAGGGTTTAGGGTTCAGGGTTCAGGGTTTAGGGTCCATGGTTTGACCAGTCAACCTTCGAAGATTTTGTGTCCAAGATACGAATGGGCATTTCCCAAAATAGGGGTACCCTTTTTCTACCCCAAATAGAACAGAATCCCCTTAAAGGGACCCCCCCCCCCCCCCCCCCCGCAAACAAAAAAAAAGAAAAACAAGGGGTACCCAGATGTTCGGAATCGGAAACGCCCTTTTGGGTTTACGGGTCAGGGTTTCGGTGCTTGCTTTCTCGACTAAACCCTAAACCCTAAACCCTCAACCCTAAATCCTAAACCCTAAACCCTAAATGGTTCCGGTCCCTTTCAACTCAGCCCGAGAGACTCAACAAGAAGCAGTCCAAGTACCTCGACCCCCAAAACCTGAAAAAAGTCATCCGCAGATTCCGCCCATCGAGCCCCTAAAGCCTAAACCCTAGGGTTTTTTCAGCTTGGGGTTTGTCCTCCTTAAACCCTTAAACCCTAAACCCTAGACCCCCAAACCCTAAACCTTAAATCTTAAACCCACCAACACCAGCGCCAGGACGGACTCCCTTGCAAACGCGCCGGGCCTAGGGGCTTGCCGACGTTGCCGCCGGACTACCCGGGCGGCGTGGCCTACGGTTTAGGGTTTAGGGTTTAGGGTTTAGGGTTTAGGGTTTAGGGTTTAGGAAACCCGCAGCACACCCGGGGGCATGGGCTTTAGGTCTTCGGATAGGCCCTAAGCATCCCCAAGCCCTAAACCCTCAACCGGGAAGCTACCGGACCTTGTTTTGCACCTGGCTCTTACGCCCCCAACCCACCCTCCCACTTATCAAAGCACCAGTAGGGCATGCCCCTCAGCTGCCCTAAACCCTAAACCCTAAACCCTAAACCCTAAACCCTAAACCCTAAACCCTAAACCCTAAACCCTAAACCCTAAACCCAATGAAGCGAAGCTTGAATGATTCAAGGTCGCGAGGTCTGCCGCATCTTCACCTTATGGGAGTACCCCGAGAAAGGACTGCTGCCACGCAGGAAGCTGCTTTTGGCTTTAGGGTTAGGGTTTAGGGTTTAGGGTTTAGGGTTTAGGGTTTAGGGAAAATAAACCTTGCTTCCTGGCAAATGGCAACTCATCTTCGCAAGCATCCCAGTAGCTGTCTCGCTTGATCAACTCTCTCACTTTTTTGAAGACATTGATGGGTAGAATACCCCAAACCCTAAACCCTAAACCTTAAACACTAAACCCTAAACCCTAAGCCACCCAGCTGTGCAGGAGGGAACAAAACCCTAAACCCTCCCACTACAGTACAGCTAACGAGCTGCTTCGGTTCTGCTTGGAGGGTGCAGTTCGCACGCCTCGTGGGCAGACAGGTCGGAGAGCCCAATACCCTCTATACCCAAAGGCCCACACTTGAAAGCGCTTCAAAGCAGCTAGGGACCATATGCGGGGACCATGGCAGGTACACACATGCATCCAAATATGTTCGGCTTTTAGATGTTCATTCCGTCACATCCTCTTACTGCCGCAAACCTTAGGTTACCGGTTGAAGTATTATCTAAAGCCTAGGCCTTTCAGATAGAAATCCAGACAAACCACTTTGCACACGATGGGCCATGTCCTGTGCAGGACCTCCATCATTCAAGATGCTGAACGTGGAGTCGTGGCGCCGACATACCCACGGCCTGTGCCAGGCTTTCGGGTTCAGGGTTTAAGGTTTAGGGTTAGGTTTAAGGTTTAGGGGTTAATGTTTGGGTTTAGGGTTTCAGGTTTAGGGTTTGCCACAGACGTTCGACAGACAAGAGCGCCAAGCAACCAAGCGACAAAACGTGGCAGCTAGCGGTCGCCAAAGTAAGCAGCCTCGGGCTGCTCAGCACGAAACCAGGTCACCCTAAACCCTACACCCTAAACCCTAAACCCTAAACCCTAAACCCTAAACCCCTAAACCCCTAAACCCTAAACCCTAAACCAGGTCACTTCTCCAAGGCTGGTACCCTTTTCTAGGGCCCTGAGTAGGCCGTTTTTCCTTTCTTTACAGGGTTTAGGCTCCCTTATAAGGGTGACCTTGAGCAGTGCAGCATCGCAGTCCGTGCGTTTGGTAGTGCATGTTTTTGATAGCTTGTTCTGTCCAACTCATGTACCGCACGGCTGTTTCTTCAGCTGCTATTGAGCTCTAAATGTGCTTTGCGTGATTCTCCTTCGTCGCTGTACAATACCTCGGGGACCTTGGCGCTCAGTCGCGCTAAGAAGCTGGGTCAGGTGGTGATGCACTTTGCCCAGCCCCGGGATCACGTCTGACAGCTTTCCTGAGTATGAGGGAGAGAGAGAGAGAGAGAGAGAGAGAGAGAGAGAGAACACTAGGGGCGGGCGATGACGCCCGGGGGCTCCGACCCCTATGCCCTCCGAAAGAAAGAAAGAGAGACAGAGAGAGGGAGAGAGAGAGAGAGGGTCAGTTACTATAAGCCCCTTGAAGCCCAAAAGGGCACCCTGATTTATTCCTAGGCTAGTTCTTTACCTCAAATGTAAGCGGACATATTGGGACATGGACTTGAGAAGCGGCACAGTTCGAGGGTTACACCAAAGCTTCCCGCAGCGGACGCGCAGGAGCCACTTCTGATCAATGACCAGTGCCTTTGGCAACGTGAATCAGCAGTAGGACCCTGGAATAGACCCTAAACCCTAAACCCTAAACTGTGGCGTGTAGACGCTGGATGGGTGGAAGGTGGGGTTTGGGGTTTACATGGCTTGTGGGCTTTGGGACTTCCGCCTGCATTTGCTGAAATCTGTTTCTTGCCTCGCTCCCCCAGAACCCTGAACCCTGAACCCGAAACACGAAACCCTAAGCCCTAAGCCCTAAGCCCTAAACCCCAAACCCCCCAAACCCCCTCAAACCCTGAACCCTAAAACCTGAACGATGCCTAGGAACGTCAAGAAGTGGATCCCTGACATGCCAGATGAGTACTTCAGGCCATGCTGCCCCCCTGGGGTTGCCAGCAGGTCTGTCCCTAGACCCTAAACCCTAAGCCCTAAACCCTAAACCCTAGACCCTAGACCCTAAACCCCAACAAGGCCATAAGCCCTAAACCCTATAAGCCCTAAACCTCTACACGACTTCGGCCTCCTCCTCCTCCTCCTCCTGCTCCTCCTCCTCCTCCGCCTCCTCCGCCTCCTCCGCCTCCTCCATCCTCCCCCCATGTTAGGGGCAGCTTCCCGTCTCTCTTTTTTTGCCGTTCTCTCTCTCTCTCTCTCCCTCTCTCCCTCTCTGCTTCTCTCTGTCACTCTGTATCTGCCTCGAACCTTGAACCTTGAACCTTGTCAACATGTCGGAGGGCCTCAGTGTGGGTCGCAGAGGCCAGTACACAGGAAAGGGTTTAGAGTTTAGGGTTTAGGGTTTAGGGTTTAGGGTTTAGGGTTTAGGGTTTAGGGTTTAGGGTTTAGGGTTTAGGGTTTAGGGTTTAGGGTTTACGGCTGGAAGTTGGGACGCACGTACATGTCACTCTCTGTGACTTCGGAGGATGCCAGCGCCGGCACCAAAGTCTGACTTGATCCGGTATGCCCTCCTCTACCACCATGGGGGCTTGCACCTGGTTCTGCATTGTGGCCCTAAACCCTAAACCCGTTTTGAGCCATTCCAGCGTTGAGGGCTTAGTTGAGGCCCTGGCCGGCCGGACGGTCTTTCTCTTGGTCGCCCAGTGCTATCCTGTTGCCCTTTGCTTGGGTAGGGTTTAGGGTTTAGGGTTTAGGGTTTAGTGTTTAGGGATCGTATAACTCGCCCCAAAAAGGGTCCCCTTGTTCGAACATGGTTCTTGGGCTACCAAGTTCTGCAGGTGTTTGGAGAACGCACCTGCGCTCCTGGGGGCATGGGAGGAGGGGGAGGAGAGGAGGCTCTCTGAGTTATGGTCGTCGTCCCTAGGCTAAACCCTAAGCCCGAAACCCTAAACCCTAAAGTAGCTTCTTTGCACGGCTTCGATTTCATAACGCACCAAGGCCTATCAGGTAATTCACTCCCTATGTGCGACAACTTCTATAAGAGAAACCCTGTTGGCATTTGTTGTTGCTTCGTGTTGTTTAAGCGGTCCTTGTCCAACAGTATGACTGTGATGTTGTTTTCGTAACAAATGTTGTTGTAAGGAGCAAAAAGTTGTTATTGCTGCTAGCGGTTAAACCAATTAAAGTGGAAACGTGCAATGAATCAATTGGAATATTCATTGGTAGGCTGACTCATCGGCCTTTTCAATGACTTTATCCATTAGTTTTTGGTTGATTCAATGAGGTTAAAATCAAAATCATTACTGTTTGGGCTGGATTGAAGTGATACTCTCCGAAATAAAACTGTTGACAAAAGCATCAATAGTTCAGCTGTGTGATTTTCCCCTTATACTAACAGTCCTTACTAGGGTTTATGATAGGGGGGGGGTACTCTATAATCCCTATCGAGGACTGTTAGGAGTTCAAGCTTCAGGGTCCGTTTAGGGCTCTTGGGAATGACTTGGAAATGCTGTTTTAGGGTTTAGGGTTTAGGGTGTAGGGTTAAACTTGATACAAACTCCAGAATCGAACTATAGGGCCTCCAGAGACACCCAGCTCTAATGTCTCAGGTCTACGGCTTGACACGTTAGGATTTTGTCGAGGTTCCACGAAGGGTTTAGGGTTTAGTGTTTCGGATTTAGGGTTTAGGGTTTGCAAAAAGCGTTTAGGGTGTAGGGTTTAGCAACAAGGGTTTGGGGTTTAGGCGCCAAAGGTACATGGACGCAGATTTTGTGGCAGTGAAGGCCGGGACCCCCACAATGAGGGGCCCCAAACCATAAACCCTAAACCCCAAGCTCTAGAGCACCTCAAGCCGAACTCCCAACCCGGGCTTAGGTTCCCTCATAACCCCCTTCTTCAGCCCCCTCAAAGGGCACCCTTTTCTTATTCCCAGGCTGCTCTTCTAAAATTTGCTTAAGAACCCTTAAAAACATCAAAACATAGTAATCCCTGCATTACCCTTGCAAGGAAGAATTTTGTTTTGTTGTATGCGGGGTTCTGCAGCAAATGGTGTTTAGGGTGTGGGGTTTAGGGTTTGGGGCTTGGGGTTTAAGGTTTAGGGTTTAGGGTTTAGGGCTTGCGGTGTACCCCTCTCCCCCCGCCCCCCCCCCCCCCCCCCCCCCCCCCCCCCCCCCAACCCCCAAGTCTTTGAGATGTTGTTTCGGGGTCCTTACGGGTCCTAGATTGGGGGGGTGTTCTATTGCATCATGGGGTATACTAAACCCTAAACCCTAAACCCTAAACCTGGTTTTCCCCCCCAGTGCAACGCCAGGATATGGATCCTATCCTCGCCCTGCTGGGAACGCATGACTTTGTCTCCTACCAGGAGAAAGGACGCTCTTCCATTGGTGTAGGGTTTAGGGTTTAGGGTTTAGGGCTATAAGGTTACTCCATCAATCCGAAATCCAGGGCAACCCCTTCATAAACAACTGAATCTCACTTGCATTCACAAATAAGGCACGCCATGCGCTGTCAAGGCTCATTCCATAGTCGTTCTTTAGCAGGAAAAGAGGGAGTTGGGAAGAAAGGGGTCCCGACATCATTCCTTACAAGGTGCTCTAGGGGGAACATGGTTTAGGGTTTGGGGTTCAGCCTTTAGGGGTTTGAAGGGTTTAGGGTTTAGGGTTTAGGGTTTGGGGCCTTTCAGGAGAGCCTGGCCAAGTGTGCAGCGCAGCTTTCAGCTCCAACCTGATCGGTGGGAGGAGCCGCCGTGGGCTTCAGAAACACACGCGCCCTTTAAACTGTATCCCCCGTGGGGTTTAGGGTTTAGGGTTTAGGGTTTAGGGTTTAGGGTTTAGGGTTTAGGGTTTATTATGTTTATTAAGGTTCTAAGGGGAGTAGAGTTAATACCAACAACCCTGTAAAGCCTAAAGGACTTTAATTCTCGCTCCCCAAAACCCTAAACTTGCTTGTAAATCCCTAAGCCCCAAAACTTGCGGGTGTAGGGTTTAGGGTTTAGGGTTTAGGGTTTAGGATCCCTTAGACTCATGCAATGAGTCGAAGGAAGCGCGCTTTAGAGGCTTAGGCACTCTTTAGGGTTTGCCCAAAGGGTCCATGTACCCATATAGTATATACTTGAGCATTCCAGGGGTTCCTATATAGTAGCTTTAGGGCAATATTTTATATATTTTATATAGGTACAGGGAGCCTTAGGCTTAGGTGGCTTAGGTAGGGTTTAGAGTTTAGAGTTTAGAGTTCTTGGGCGGCAGGGTGGGCTGTATCTCATTTCGGGTCTTGGGGCCGTCAGCCCTTCAGCGTTCCGGGTCGCAGCGCTCATGAACGAAGCACAGATGTTCAACTCTACGTGTGCAATGTGGGTATTTCCCCAAAATAGAGGCACCCCTTTTCTACCCCAAATAGAGAAGAATCCCCTTAAAGGGACCCCCCCAAGACAAGGGCCAAGCTTCCCTTGTACCTCTATCTTCGGGGCAGGCAGAGGTATACAGATCTTTCGCTAGAGGTTAAGTTCGGGGGGGGGGGGATGCTGTAAAGTCCCGCAGCAGAACTAAGCACTTCGAAGTTCGAAGTGCTAGGCTTCAGAGGTTTACGGTTGATTTTAGAGCTTTGGGCTTCAGGTGCTGAGGGTTTATTAGGGGATTGGGTTGAGGAGGCCATAACCGCAAGGCCCGAAACCCTGGAACCGAATCCCGCCCTCCTCTCTCAAGGCACCTTCGCAGCCCCAAACCTCACCCCCACCCCCCCCCCCCTCCCAAACCCTAAACCCTAAACCCTAAACCCTAAACCCTAAACCCTAAACCTTAAACCCTAAACCCCAAGCCAGGAAGGGAAGCCCCGTCTTCAAATTCCTCTGGGAGCGCCAGAAGGACAGCGCACAAAGGTTCGGGATCCAGGGGCTAGGACCCAGAGTAGGCGCTCATTCTCCCTAACTCTGTGAACCCTAGACAACCCTAGACCCGAAACCCTAAACCCTAAACCCACACCCCCTTTTTTATCCCTGGTTACTCTTGCTGGGGGGTCTTGAGCCTGGAGAGCCCACAAGACCCGTTAATGACCAAGCCTCAATGAAACAATGTACCTTACATCATATTAGGAACCCTAAGCGCTAAATCCCAAAACCCTAAAACCCCAAAAAAACCCTGAACCCTAAACCCTGCCGTAACTTAAGGTGCACTTGGGCACTTCAGGTGTTAGGGATTCTGGCGTTGGCTTGTAGGGCTTAGGATGGTTTAGGGTTTGGGGTCTTGGGGTTTGGGGTTTATGCCCCCAATATCCTTAACCATTATCCGCCGTCCTTTGGTGTGGGCTGTCTGCTTGGCCGGTGGCCAAAAACTTCTAGCCCCTAAGCCCTAAACCCTACAACCCTACAACTTAAACCCTAAACCCCAAACCCTAAACCCTAAACCCACACACACACACACACACCCTATGCGAGGTTTACAAACCAGATGGGCCTGCCCAGGAGAAGATGCGAAAGAAGTGTGGTCAGGTAGCCCCTGGGGAGGCATGGGTGCCCTAATATCTCAGAGAAGCTGCACGGTCGGTTTAGGGTTTAGGGTTTAGGGTTTAGGGTTTAGGGTTTAGGGTTTAGGGTTTAGGGTTTAGGGTTTAGGGTTTAGGGCCCTTCATATGGTCCATCACCTTCTTTAAGAGGGTTCTGTATCGAGTTCAATGTGCTTCAGCTTTTCAAGCTTCAGGGTGTGCCTTTGGAGAATTTGGGTCTTGTGGCTTTTTAGTCTTGAGAATCTTTTTGGCTGGGCAGTTAATCTTTAACCTTTTTGGCTGTGCACACGTCGCGCTTTAACCTTTTTGGATACATATGTATATATATATATACATATATGTATATATATATATATAGTCTTATTACAAGCAAAAACCTTTTTGGGCTAGGGTACTCAGCCCCTAAGGAATTAAGTGTACTTCACAATTCTTGCGAGGCTTGCTGCCCAGAGAACACCAGACGGTCCTGCGCCGTCCCATGGGCTGCGCTGGGTGAGGGTGTCCCCTGGACAACAACAGAGGTTTACATGAAGTAGGGCCCCTAAACCCTAAGCATTAATAGGGCCTGTATAGGGCTCCTTGTTAATATTGGTGCGTGTATTGGGTGACACTTGGGAATGCTGTAGGTATAAAAGGCACGCGTGGTATTCCAGGGCTATGATTTAAGGTGAACGGTTTAGGGTATATTCGGGGAAGGGGGGGGGGGGGGGGTCTAGATCCAGAGTTGTGGCTCGGGGGTTCTGAGTGATGGAGTGTGAGTTTTTTTCACAAATCTGGTCCCGTTTGATCCACAAGCTGGCTCAGGCCAGCAGGTGTTTCGGGGAGAGCCCAGAGCCCCAAACCATCAACCAAGGAATATACCGCAAGTCATTCTTTAGCGATATACTCGGTAGGCCCTCGGGGCATTTTAGATGTTATCCCTTATATGGATTGGGTCTAAGAGGATCATAATCAGGAAGATTTTTCACAGACCTTTCCAGAACCATCCTATAGTAGCGGTGTCCTTATGATGTAAGACATTTTCTTCCTTTCTAGACCCAGACATGGCCGAGTGGAAGTGCTTTACAAAGTCTCCAGCCTTGTTTGTAATTAAGGGTTTCCGAAATTAGGGGTACCTTCTTGGCAGTTCGAACAGGCCTGGATGCACAAGGGGTACCTTATTGGGGTCCTTATTATACAGGAATCCTACCATTTGGGGGGTTTACATGTGGGGTCCCTTATTGTCGTAAACCCCCCGTATATGTCAACTCTTATGGACCTTGGGTCCTTCACTGCCCTTGTCCGGTTTGGCCACCCCACTCAGAAGACCAGCATTGGAATGCACTCCTCGCGACATATAGTCTTAGGGTAGTTTCATGGGCCCTTAGTCTGATCCCTTACGTCTCTTAAAGGGTTCGGAAGTATGGGCCCCTTGGATTTTAGAGGGTATATGAGGGGTAGTTCAGGGGTCCCCATTTAAGGGTGACCCTTAGACACAGGGGTTGAGTGCCCCTAAACCCTACACCCTAAACCTAAACCCTGTTTAAACCCTCGGCCTCCGACCCCCACTCCCTCCAGAACCTCTGCAAGCATCCCAGATCACGCACCCGGCCTTCAACGAGTTGCTGAAGACAGGCCGGTGTAGCGCCCCGAAACCATAAACCCTGAACCCTGAATCCTAAACCCTGAACCCTAACCCTAAACCCCAAACCCTAAACCCTTAGAACCTTCGCGGTCGTAACGTTACTTCCATACACCATAAACCCTGAATCCTAAACCCTAAACCCTGGGGCTTCGGGAAGTTGGAGGAAGACCGCCTGCTCCTGCGTGTTTTCCTTTTCCGGTGTAGGGCTCGGGCGCATCCCTTGGGTTTAGGGTTTAGGGTTTAGGGTTTAGGATTTAGGGTTTAGGGTTTAGGGTTTAGGGCTGTTGAAGGGTTTAGGGCAGATTGTCTGCAGACTTGCGGTCCACCGCAAACTGCGGAGTAGTACAAGAAGCAGTCGCCTTCGATGATTTTTGGGGGTTTTGTTCCCCTGGGAGGCTGGACAAGTAGAACTACAATCTTCCGGGTCTAAAGGGATGTGGGGGCTGTGCTGTCCTCCAGATCTTATGGGACATGGGCGCTTAGAACCTGAAACAGTAGGACCCGGAGGAATTAGGCCCTTTATAAGCCCCTTTAAACCAAAAAGGACACCCTGTTTATTCCTAGGTTACTCTTGGGTCTAGCCCTAAACCCTAAACACTATAATTACCCTAGAACAGGGGACGTCTTCGAGACCTTCTGCTTCGCCGACGAGTGGTCTTTCGTTCCGGACCACTTCGCCTATTCTGTGGAGCACATCCCCTCCAAGGACCTCTAGCTGCAGGTTTGCCCTAACCCCCCTAAACCCTTAACCCTTAACCCTTAACCCTTAACCCTTAACCCTAAACCCTAAACCCTAAACCCTTAACCCTAAACCCTAAACCCTAAACCCTAAACCCTACCTCAAGACCCAGAACCTACCTTGTTTTTTTGTAAGTGATTATCATAAGGCCCCGTATAGGATTCTTAGATCACCTACAAAAAAGGGGCAGGTTTTGGGTTCTTAAGTTACCCGAAACCCTAAACCCTAAACCCTACTAAGCTACAGAAAATCGTGGGATGTGCCAGGATGTAGTGTTGCGGAGCTTGTCATATCTTATAAAGGAAGATCTTAGAACCCCAAACGACCATTTGCTTCAGAACCACCCAAAAACTAAGCATATTCTTCCTTATCAGGGCGGTGCACGGAATGATTCTTCTGTGTTTTTCGGCGGGGGGGGGGGGGGGGGGGTTCTTAAGCGAGTAGAGTCAAACTAAACCCTAAACCCCAAAAAGCAAGAGTTCTTAGACAGAGCCTTGAGGAGATCAAGGGGAGCCTAGGGTTTAGGGTTTAAGGCCCCAACGCATTACATGGTTCCTTGACGGCTTGTGGGCATGCCATGACCAGGGCCAACGCTGATGCCTGTGTAAATAGACATGGCTCTCTAAATTAAGGTCCTGTTTGGGGTTACTTTCTTAGTAGCTGAATGAGTACACTTTACACTTGTTGGGATACCATTTTACTATACTTCCCCAAAGAACTGAAAGTGTACACTTTTTGGGGGCTTGTGAACTCAGCAACGAAGCTATTATAAGGCTGCCCCGATTATTTTAGCGTACCCAAAGGGACCATCATTTAGAGAACTCGCCGCACATGCTTAAACCTTGCAAAGCGTGGTTATTCATAGAAGAAGCTAGGTACACGTACATATACATACATGTAGAACCACACACACACATTTATAATAATATAATAATACAATATAAGTTAATGACATAAAATATAATATCAAAAATGTAATTATATATACATATACATATATATTGTTGCTTATTTTGCAACGAGAGGGTTTATGGCTCTGAGAGGTAGCCCCGAAACTGGCACCTGGCACCTTTTAAAAGCACCCCTTAAACCCTAAGCCCGAAACCCTAAGTTTAGGGTTTAGGGTTTAGGCTGTTTAGGGTTTAGGGTTTAGGGTTTAGGGTTCCTAAACCCCCTGTCTGCGGAGGACGAGGCCTTAAAGTACATGGAGGTGGCCGGGCTGCAGCCCAAAGAGTCCAATAGCCCGAGTTTAGGGTTTCAGGGTTTTAGGGTTTTAGGGTTTTAGGGTTTTTAGGTTTTAGGGTTTTAGGGTTTTAGGGTTGTAGGGTTCTCGGGTTTTAGGGTTTTAGGGTTTTAGGGTTTTAGGGTTGTAGGGTTCTCGGGTTTTAGGGGTTTAGGGTTTTGGGGTTTTTGGGGTTTAGGGTTTAGGGCTGAACAAGCCCCCAAGGAGACGGGGTTCTTGATCGGGAGCTTCACTTAAGTTACCGGGATGTAGGGTGTTTTGCTACCTTAAACCCTAAACCCTCCTACACCCTAAAGTCCCCTGAACCAGAGAACCCGGCACCTTGCCCCAGCAAAGTTACCTCCACGAAGCGAAGCTGCGCTTGTGGGGCGTTTTAGGGTTTAGGGTTTAGAGCTTAACAGCGTCCAAACCCTAAAATATCCCTACACTCTCTCTATTTTCTTTATGCTTGGAGGTTTCTTGTCCTTCTTGTCCACCTTTCCTTTGTTTTTTATTTTCAGTATTGTCCTTCTTCGCTGTTGTTCTATTTTCTTGTCTTTTCTTTTATTCTCTGGGGGTCTTCGGGGATAGAGTTCAGGAACGCACTTCTGTTTGGGGGCCAAATGAACCCTAAAAACGGTTTGGGTTAAGAAAAGCTCATATACCCTAGTGGGAATTCTCGTAGTAGAAGGTAGTTTCGAAAAGTTCATATACCACGAGAGAGAAGTTATAGTAGCATAGGGTGTATGACCCCAATTTTAGGGTTTAGTTGGTCCAGAGGAAACCACGTCATGCACATTTGGTCTTGGGGTTTTGGGGTTTTGGGGTTTAGGGTTTAGGTCTTTTGGCCCTAAACCCTAAACCCTAATCCTGCTAAGCATTCGTCTCGACGTGCGCGCTGCTCAGAGAGACCAGCACAAGCTAAGTCAATGCATCTGCACAGCTTCAAACGTCCATAGTGTGTCCTTCATGCGCATGACAGGGAAGCCCTGTATGGGAATCCTAGAACCGGTATTCCCCCGCAACATCGGAGGTATATACTAGAAATATACGAGAACGCATGGTGAACAGTGCCCTGAGTTCAGGAGCGTGGTATCCAACACTCACTGGACAGGACGGGGGCGCCTGCAACCTAAACCCTAAACTCTAAACCCTAAACCCTAAACCGCTGTTTCCTCCGCATGAGTAGACTCACACGAGAGGTCCAAGGTTCTGTGTCTTGTGGTGGCTGGGTATGGGAGACCTTCGCCCAAGAACGATGGGTCCTGGGTTTAGGATTTAGGGTTTAGGGTGTAGGGTTTAGGGTTTAGGGTTTAGGGTTTCGGGAAACTGCTTCCTCTTCTTGCTGGGGAATCAGATTCTGGGACGTTGAGGGATGCGCAGTCGCAAATCTTTGGAAGCTCTCTATAGTGCTCCTTTTGCCGCGTGGGACTTTGAGTTTCGAGAGTTTAAGCCCTATACCCCAAACCCCAAGACCTACATCTTAAGCACTAAGCCCCAAGCCCTACACCTTAAGCCCTAAACCCTAAACCCTAAACCCTAGGGGTAGGGGTTTGGGGACTTTTGGGCCCTGGCCACCTAGGGAATCTAGTCTAGATCACAAGCACAGGGAGCGATGAACATGTCAAAGTTTTTGGGTTGAGGATTTTCGGGTGCAGGGTTCTGCCATTTGCTCAAGAACCCCCCCCCCCCCAACAAAAAAAAACGAGAGAATATTTTTCCTCACAAGGGCAAGCTAGTTGTCTTTAAACATTTTGCAGGGAGTTTTTAAGCAAGGGCCCATTCCCACTCAAGGCCCGTAAGGCTGCCCGAAGGCATAAGGCATGTTGCTCGTTCTCTGCGCTTGCGAGTTGGTGCGGTTTAGGGTTTAGGGTTTGGGGTTTAGGGTTTAGGGTTTAGGGTTTAGGATCGTGTACCACCTCTTCAACGCCATCACGCCGCTGCACAAGTGGAAGTGTGCCTCCTTTGGCAAGCCCTTGGCAAGCCCAGCTCCCCTACCAGACCTGGCAGACCAAGATTGGGTTTAGGGTTTAGGGTTTAGGGCTTAGGGTTTGGGGTTTGGGGTTTGGGGTTTAGGGTTTAGGGATTAGGGTCTAGGGTCTAGGGTTTAGGGTTTAGGGTATAGGGTGTACGGTTTAGGGTTGGGGTTTAGGGTTTAGGGCTTAGGGTTTAGGGTTGGGGTTTAGGGTTTGGGGCTTTGGGTTTAGGGTTTAGAACCGGGGGGGGGGGGGGGGGGGTTAGGGTTTCCTCAGAATTCTTATCACGGAGGTCAATCTTGGACCATTGAGGATGTGCCCGTAAGAGGTTTCCTTAGTTTACCCGATTATGGCCCTTATACTCCCTTACCTTAGAGGATCTTGAAAATAAGGGTCCCCAACCAACGGGTCCAGGTAGGGGTTCAATCTAATGCCCAAAGACATTGTCATGCTTTACTAGGAAGAGCCGGCTAAGATGAATATATGGGGGTTTGCGAAATAGGGGATACCTTTTTTTTCGGGGTCCCTTTAAGGGGATTCTATTCTAGGTGAGATAAACAGGGGCACCCCTATTTTGGGAAATACCCATGTGGGCTTCCTTCTGGTTGAATCTCGTTACTCGATTTCTACTTATGAACCGGCTGAGTTCTGAGTAAAGGTAGAACGGTACTTCTGCTGTAGGCAGCAGACAAGCTCTCGTAATTTGTGTGGCGAAGCGAAGTCGGCCTGCGCTAACATGTAGAGTCTAGAGCAAGAAGGACAAGCTCTCCTTATGAGGACGAGACGAGTCCCCGGTTTCTCATACTTCGGACCGCATTTCGCCCCCCTGTCCTCTTGGAAATTTGAGCAGCCACCCCTAAACCCTAAACCCTAAACCCTAAACCCTAAACCCTAAACCCTAAACCCTAAACCCTAAACCCTAAGAAGGGCCATGTGAGGAGTGGAATCAAGGGGAACCCCTGGTTTTCATGGCTGGCTCTTGGGACTCTAACCTTTTGGGTTTTGGTAGAAACTACAATAGGGAGCCTAAGAGTTAGAGGGTTTAGGGTTTAGGGTTTAGGGTTTAGGGTTTAGGGTTTAGGGTTTAGGGTTTAGGGTTTAGGGTTTAGGGTTTAGGGTTACTTTTAGGAGGGGTTCAGACTTTTGGGTTTGGGTAGAAAACTACAAAAAGGAGCCTAAGAGTTAAGCTGTTCGGAGGGGTTCAGAAGTCAGACAAGAACCTCGAGAGGTCCAACCTTCAGGGTACGAGCCTGAATCCCCTGTCTTTTAGTACCCTTATGGTAGTATGGTTACTGGGCTACACCCTAAACCCTAAACCCTAAACCCTAAACCCTAAACCCTAAACAAAAAAACCATTGGTGCCGAGTTCCATGGCTAAGGTGCAACGCTTCTGGACCCTAGGCGGCTGGTGGGGCACCTCTACACTGACGCCTGGAAGCATGGAGTCTCCCACAGCTGTGGGGAAGAAGGTCCAGGGTTGAGTGTTTGGGGTTTAGGTTATAGGGTTTAGGGTTGTTTTCATTAGGTACTGGGATTCAAGCAGGGTTTGCAATTTAGGTGTGAGGCTTCAAGCACAAGGGTCTTAGGGTTGACGGATCGTGAAGCAAGCGCTCCTCGCCTCCCAGGGTTTTTAAAGGCAGAACCTGGTAGAAGAGTACTTCCGAGGCACAAGGAGGGCTTAGGGTTTAGGTTTTAAGGCATAGGGTTTAGGGTTTAGGGTTTAGGGTTTTGAATTTGGAGGTTCCAATGTTGGTGTGACTTGTTTTGCAGTAGGCCCTCTGTATCGCCCGAACGATAAGGCATGTGGCAGTACTACGTTGGAGGACCCTATGGAACCCCCTAGACCTTAAACCCTAAACCCTAAACCCTAAACCCTAAACCCTAAACCCTAAACCCTAAACCCTAAACCCTAAACCCTAAACCCTAAACCCTAAACCCTAGCTCGGCCCTAAACCATAGGAGAGCTTCCGCTCGGAGACTGGACGACGTCCGGTGCAGCAGAGCGAGGAGTCGGATGCCTGGCTCCAGGAGACACTCTTTGAACCGGGCTTCTGGGGTTCGGAGAGGTGCACACTACCATCTCCTTAAGAACACCCAGAAAAGACACAAATGCTAATACCTGTAGGGATGCAGCGGCAGAGAGAGAGAGACATTGCCCTTATCAGGAAGTTGTTTTTTTTTTTGAATATTTATTGGGGTTCTTATGCAAAAGTGCTGGTATATCTATGCGTATCTACTACGAGCTCCAGAGTAGGGCCGTGTTCTCTTATAGGCCACCTTTGAACAAAGGGCACCCATTTCTTCCCAGGTTACTCTTAGGTCTGAACTTGAAAAGGGTATTTTCATGGTACCCTAAATGTCGTCCCTTACCCTCTTTGAAGGGTTCTGAAGTATGGAGGGTCCCCTACCCTCTTTAAATGGTTCTGAAGTATGGGCCCTTGAGGGTTTCGGGTTAGGGCTTAGGGTTTCGAGTTTTAGGGTTTTTGAGAAGCGTGATCTGCGGGATTATGTTTGGGACGCCCTGTTTGCCGAAACTGCGGCTTCCTCTTGGTTCTCTTGTGCAAAGCATAGTACTTGGAGGTTCATGGTACTTCTGAGCCAATTCTCACTGTACTTATGCCCCACTTATGACCCCCTTAAGTGCCCTAATAGGGTTAGAGCTACCGTTTGAAGTACAGTTAGAATTGCGTTCTCAACAACCGTGAACCTCCAAGTAAGCTCCTTCTGTGGGGGTCGGGGACCTGTTGCGGAGTGTTCATGGGCACCAGATTCTTTTGGAGGCTATTGAGCCCTTGAAACCCCGAACCTTTTGCCCCCTAAACCTTAAACCCTAGCCCCTAACCCTAAACCCTAAACCAAAGTGTTCACTCTTGGGCTTGGCAGGAGCATCCAGAATTTGTCAAGTACCAGCAGGCCGCTTTCCGGACCATGTAACTCCATGACCTTGGGATATGTCTATTTCCTTGATTGGGCTGTAAGAGGCTTTAGGGGCCGACCTCGAATCTCCTCCATATATGACAAGGGTTCCCTTGGTGCTTTGTTCGGGATTCAGGTTTGGGAAAGAGCCGCGTAAGGCGGCCGCACCCTTTTCATTTCCAGGGCCGAGCTAGGGTTTAGGGTTTAGGGTTTAGGGTTTAGGGTTTCGGGTTTTGAGTTTAGGGTTTAGGGTCTAGGGAGAAGATAGGCAGAGAGCACCCCCCGGCTCCGGGCCTCTTTCCCGACACTTGAGTCTCTAAGCCATGGTCTGTTTTCCTAAGCCCTGTGTACAGATATGGGGGTTTAAGACAGTAGGGGTTTAGGGTTTAGGGTTTAGGGTTTAGGGTTTAGGGTTTAGGGTTTCAGACAGTAGGGGTACCTTATTATTATTGGGGTCCTGGCGAGAAGGGGATCCTACTATTTGGGGTCGGGTCTATTTTCGGGGTTTCTTACTATCGTAAACCCCATATGTGCATGATATATATGTAGATATGTATATATATATATATGTATGCAATATCACATATGCGTGTACACATAAGAAAAGGAAGTGTATTTTCGTATATTGCAATCTTTGGAACGTCTCCCCCCATGATTCCGGATTTTGAACTAATAGCTAAACCCCAATCCCGCCCGATGCTGACCTCAAGCCCAAACCACTCAGAAAGTTAAGCGTTTGCGGGGATCAGTGGCCCAGACCCAGGTCTCAAAAAAGATTGAGGTTTTTGCGCCTCAAACCCTAAACCCTACACCCTAAACCCTAAATCCCTGCAGTGTGGTTGCGAGGCTGCTAGGCAGGTGGCAAAAAACCCTAAATCCGTTTCGGGTTTAGGGTTTTGGGGCTTCATGAGTTTAGGGTTCAGGGGTAAAGACGCCAAACCACACGAAGCCCTGCTTTAGGGTTTGGGGTTTAGGGCTTAGGGCTTAGGGTTTAGCATTTAGGGGTTTAGGTCTTAGGGCAGACCTGCAGTTGAACTTCAGGGGGTCCTGGTTGGGATGTTCCCCTTATACGAACAGTCCTTAATAGGGATCATAGTACACCCTGCTATAATCCCTACTAAGGACTGTTCGTTTCAGGGGAACATGTCAAGGTCCCGGTCTCTTTTGGGGGTTTTGTAGTAAGATCCCTTATAACAAGGACCCCAATAAGGCACCCCTAATTTAGGGAAACCCTAAACCCCAAACCCTAAAGTCCTAAACCCTAAACCCTAAACCCTGTAGTTCCAGTGCTGCTGGGGGATGGTCCCGATGATGTGCTGGTTCACAGTGCAGACGCGCTCAGTTGCTCAGACTCAGAGATAGCGCCGAGTAAACCCTAAACCCTAAACCCTAAACCCCAAAACCTTAAACCCTAAACACTAAACCCTAAACCCTGAACCCTAAACCCTAAACCCCAAAACCTTAAACCCTAAACACGAAACCCTAAACCCTGAATGGAAGGTCCACAATGGCTGGCAGCCTTGTCCTGGTCCGGTGGAGGTGACCGAGGCACCCCCCTCGTCCGCTCCCTCGCAGGACAGTCTCCCTAGGATTTTTAGGGTTTGGGGTTTAGGGCTTTAGGGTTCTAGGGTTTGGGGTTTAGGGTTTGGGGTTTAGGGCTTTAGGGTTCTAGGGTTTGGGGTTTAGGGTTTGGGGTCTAGGGCTTTAGGGTTCTAGGGTTTGGGGTTTAGGGTTTGGGGTCTAGGGCTTTAGGGTTCTAGGGTTTAGGGTTTGGGGTTTTAGGGTTTCAGGGTTCTAGGGTTTAGGGTTCTAGGGTGTAGGGCTTGGGGTTTAGGGTTCTAGGGCTCTAGGGTTTAGGGTTCTAGGGTGTAGGGTTTAGGGTTTTAGGGTTTAGGTTTAGGTTTTGGCTTGGAACTATTTCTTCATACTTGGTTACTATACCCCCCTAAAGAAGAGCTAACGACTACTATAAGCTTTAAAAAGAGCTAGAATCTGAGTTTGTGCAAGGGTACCAAGTTCAGCAATATCTCGGTGGGGGTTCTGCATGGCTTGAAGGGCTCTGAAGGGCTTTCATTAAGTAGGTTGTCTTTTTGAGATTTCATTTATTTTATTTTCATTTTATTATTATTATTTATTTTTTTTTTTTGGCGGGGGTTTCTCCTAAACCCTAAGTTCTCAAGCAACTAGTAGTGGTTTAGGGTTTAGGGTTTAGGGTTTAGGGTTTAGGGTTTAGGGTTTAGGGTTTAGGGTTTAGGGTTCTTCTTGCGCAGGAGAGGAGCTGCCAAATCTTCACCCTCTGGGAGTACAAATCGGGTCCGCCTCTGTCCGTGGCCCTGAATGTGGAAGGCCAGAAGCTGCCAAGACTAGTTTAGGGTTTAGGGTTTAGGGTTTAGGGTTTGGGGTTTAGGGTTTAGGGTTTAGGGTTTAGGGTTTAGGGTTTAGGGTTTAGCTCCCAAACCCCCTAAAACCACCCAAGGCGCTGCTCCAATACAGAACCCCAAGGGTCCGTGTTGAGAGTCGAAGGGTCCGTGTGCCTTTTTTTTTGGAATATACTTCGTTCCTAAAGCTGCTAGATAGGAACCCCCAAGTATATACTCTATGGGTACATGGAAAGGTTTGGGGAAGTAAAGTAGACAGGCCTTAGATTGGGTTTAAGAGGATCACATGTAGGATTATCCTTCAGATGGTTTTAAGGGCAATCATGGTAAATCTACCCACCAAACAGGAGAGTTTATCTTTCGAAAACGAGCTGGTAGAATACTCCTGGTAAGGTCGCCATGTGTCGAGAGCCCTGGTTCTTTTGAAGCCTTGAGGGGTTCGGTCTCAACTTGCCAGACCAACCGCTACAGGCCCATTTTTTGAGCTGAGTGGTGCGCTGTTGCCCTGTTGAAATTCTGGGCTTATCTTGCAAAAAACATCAAGCCGAAAAAGGATACCCTCACCTAGATGTTTGTGGAGAGCCGCGCTCTCGCACTCGTGATTTGATGGACCACGGCGGCTCAAACTGCCGCGAGCATGTCAGTGGACATGTTTTGGATAGCTTGTGCAGTTCATGGAATCTTGCCACACCTGGTTGATGCCAATGTAGTCACTTGATGCTAGAAGCTAGCAATATGCGCAGGTTCCCCAGAAAACTCCCGGAGTTCAGGGTTTAGGGTTGAGTTGAGGGCCTCTCCCCCCACTTCTGCGCCATGTCTCTGGTGCCTGTGACTTCGTCCCTCGGCTCCACCCGAGCTCCCTTGCCGCACAAGCCGATCGCGCGAAGCGTCGCAGGCCAGTTATAGACTTCAAAAGGGAAGGTTTAGGGTTTAGGGTTTAGGGTTTAGGGTTTAGGGTTTAGGGTTTAGGGTTTAGGGTTTAGGGTTTAGGGTTTAGGGTTTAGGGTTTAAGGGGCTCGAGGATGCTGGAAGGGTTGTGGGCACTCCAATCAAGTCCTCCTGAAAAACTGTCAGAAGTTTAGGGTTTCGCGCCCTTTTGTAGCCCTTATACAACCCTTAAAAGCCTTAAAACCCTTATAGCCCTCATATCCCTTATTACAACCTTTTTAACGCTTCTAACCCTTTAACCCTACGTCTGCCCACAGATCTTCAAGGAATTTGGGCTCCGTAACAAGGCGCTCGAAGGCTCGCCCCGATAAGGATGGGCCATGTGCTACTCCCTAGGTTTAGGGTTTAGGGTTTAGGGTTTAGGGTTTAGGGTTTAGGGTTTAGGGTTTAGGGTTTAGGAGCCCTGAGCCCTAAGCACTTCTATGAGGAGAGAGAGCAGCCCTAAACCCTTCAACAAAAGGTCCTTTATGTAGGGGGGGGACTCTGAGGAGTATGAGGCCTAACCCCAAGCCCTAAATCCAAAACCCTCACCGTAAACCCGAAAGGGCTTAGGGTTACAAGGTTGATTATGGGGAGTAGAAGGCCTAATCGCCAATCCTGCCATAAAGGAACCTGTCAAGGATACATAGCTTTCTAAGTAACAACCTATAAAAAAATGGAGGCTGGGGGGTTCTTCAGGCTCCAGAAATCCCTTAGCTCTTCGTGGGCTTCGGAAGTTTCTCCATTCGCGTTTAGGGTTTAGGGTTTAGGGTTTAGGGTTTCGTTTGCATTTTGCGCAATGGCTTGGAGATGGGCCGCCCAATGTAAGAAGCCTTAGAAGCGAGACCTATGCCTTGCCCCAAGGGTCCGTATACCCATACAGGATCTACCAAGGCCTTCCAGGGGGTCCCTATAGACTACTATTTGCTTAAGAACCCCCCTCAAAAAAAAAACACAAATAAAATGTTAAATCCCTGCATTACCCTTATAAGGAAGAATAGTTTTCATGTTTTTTTTTTTTTTTGGGGGGGGGGGGGGGGGGTTCTCAAGCAATTTGTAGTAGAGTAGCTTCAGGGCCCAAATAAAAATCTGTATAGGTACGTGGACCCTTAAGGTTGGTTGTGTGTTGGGGGTCGTCAGAAATTCCGAGCTTTGACCTGACGGTTTAGAGTTTAGGGTTTAGGGTTTAGGGCGGGAGGAGCCACGACCAGATGGCATCCGTGCATCACCAGTTCCTTGGCGGTGGCGTTCCTGACCTGCGCCCACCCCCGACGCCGGCAGCGGGTGAAAGCTGCAGGCCAACACCTCGAGCCCTAAACCCTAAACCCTAAACCCTAAACCCTAAACCCTAAACCCTAAACCCTAAACCCTAAACCCTAAACCCTAAACCCTAAACCCTAAACCTGCAATATAGGCATATACATATATATATGTATGTATGTATATATATATATATAAAAATAAGCGCCTTAGTAATTTGAACAGGGTTTTGGGGGGGTTATTATCGCCTGGGACCCTAAACCCTAAGCCCTAAACCCAGTGTTAAAGGTTTGGGTTCCCTTACAAGCCCCTTTAGAACAAAAAGGGGCACCCTGCTTTATTCCTAGGGTACTGCTGGGTCCAGTCGCTGCAGCTTTTTTGAGCCCCTGAACCACGAAGCTCCCCGACTCCCATAGGGTTTAGGGTTTAGGGTTTAGCCTTAGTTTCGGAAGCCCCCATAAGTGTAGCGTCTTAAGCCCCACGTTGGGGACGAAATGAACCCCAAAAGGGTTTATGGTTCACATACCTTAAGAGGGATTATAGTAGTATAGTAGGTTTAGGGTTTAGGTTTTAGGGTCTAGGGAATAGTATAGGGTATATGACCGCGATTTTAGGGCTCGTTTGGACCCCAAGGCACAAACCATGTAGTTTCTTGGGCTACTCTGCAGGAAGCGACGCAGAGCTGCCAGAGGCGGAGGCTGCACCCGCCAAGGCCCGAGACAGAGGGCTCCACAAGGTTTAGGCATTTGCTTTTGGGTCTAGGGTTTAGGGTTTAGGGTTTAGGGTTTAGGGTTTAGGTCATCCGGAGGTTGAGGTTGAGAATTCGGAGCCCATGGTTTTGGGTTTTATGTTTTGGGGCTCCCCCACACTTGCACAAGTTTTGAAGCTGACCTCCTTCGGCTGATAGACCTTGCGGTTGGGGCTTGAGTGCTATCACCACACAGACGGGCTTCCCTCTAAAATCAAGCAATAGGATCCGGAACCCTAAACCCTAAACCCTAAACCCTAAACCCTAAACCCTTACTCCCTTTTTTAGGGAAACGGCGCCCTTCTTGGCTCCTTAAACCAAAAAGGGTGCCCTTTGTATTCCTCGGTTACTCTTCCCTTACCTACTGCAAAGGTTTCTGAAGTGGGTTCTGTAGGGTAAATAAGGGCTTATAAGGGTTCCCCAATTATGCCCATTTTGAAGGGACCATGTAGCTACCCTAAGGTAAACGGCCTGCAGGAGAAGTTTGGCTTTTTGGGCAAGCTGCGCAAGAAGCTGCCCAAGAAGCCAAGCGCGGAGGACTAGACCATAAACCCCATTTCCCAAAACCCAGTTCGGGTTCTCGGCTTAGGGTTTAGGGCGCGGGGTCTGTAATTACGGTTTTAATCAGTGTTCAGGAATGTTGTGTTTTTCTTTTTTTTGTGTGGGGTGGGGGGGGGGGTGGGTTCTCAGAAGGTTGCTTGTTATGTTGTGTTTTTTTTTTTTCTTTTGTTTGGGGTGGGGGGGGGTGGGGTCTCAGAAGGTTGCTTGTTAATGTAGGATTGAGCATCTCGGTCAGTATGTTGAAGAGACCTTCGCTTGAGCACTTGACATGAGGATGTTCGGGAAAAGTTGCCATGGCCACTATGCATATTCCGCCCAGGCATAGTGCCTGACCCTAAAGCTGAAGCCCCATGCTTAGAAGCCCTTTCGACGTAGTATGAATAAGCCCCATGAGCCAACTTACTCATCCTCCTTACTTACCTGGGATCCAGAGCAGGCCCTTATTCCCTTTTTTGTAGGGCTTACAAGCCCCAAACCAGAAAGGGCACCCTTTTTTCCAAGGTTTCTCAGGGCTTGCAAGCACCCAGAGGGCACCTTGCCGCAAAAGCCTTGCCTCAGAGCTGTACTTGGCATGCCCTAAGGGTTTAGGGTTTAGGGTTTAGGGCCTAAGGGTCCATGTACCCATGTAGTATATACTTGGGCCCCTAAGTATTAGGGCCGCCTAAACATTATGACCCCTAAAAAGGGGGACCACAACTTAGAGAAGTGACCATATAGAAACCCTTTTAAGGCCCAAGCATAGACTCCCTAAACCCTAAACCCTAACCCGATGTAAACCCTAAACCCATACAGGTACACGGACAATTTGGGATGTCAGGCCATGCCTGCGGGCGCTTTGCGGCTACATGCCGGGGCTATCACGCCACGGGTGGCGCGGGCTGCCTAACATATGGCCCTATACTTCATGAGAACTATAGCCTAAACCCTGGGTTTAGGGTTTAGGGTTTAGGTTTTAGGGTATCCCTGTTTTGGGCCAAGCCCAAGTAGACTGACCCTGCGCACTGGAAGGAGATGAAGAAGTACGGCGCGGGAATGGTCTTCAGCTACTCCTTCGTGGGGTCTCTGATCCCGGGCTGCAGAGCGCAGAGCCGCTACGGGGTTTAGGGTTAAGGGTTTAGGGTCTAGGGCTGAGGGTTTAGGGTTTAGGGCTGAGGGTAGCCCTAAACTAGGGTTTCGGGTTTAGGCTCTCCGAGATGGTAAGATCCCGATCGTGCACATGGAGGGCGGGGGGGGGGGGGGGGGGAGGTTAGGGTTTAGGGTTCAGGGTTCAGGGTTCAGGGTCTAGGGTTTAGGGTTCAGGGTTCAGGGTTTAGGGTGAGTAGCTGAGAAATGTCCAGCCTCAAAGCTGGGTACAGTCACATGGGGGACAAATGGTTTAGGGTTTAGGGTTTGGAGTTTACCGCAAGAACCCCCAAAAACCTTAATTGTGCTTGTTTTCCATGATGCCCCTTATAGGATTCTTAGGTAACCTACAACAAAACTAAGTCTTGGGTTCTTGAGGCAGATCTTATCATGGGCCCTCTTTTGCGGGATCCTATATGTGTATAAAGGAAACCCTAGGGGTCCATGTACCCATATGGCATATTTTTGGGCCCTAAAGCTGCCAAAAAGGCTTATAGACCGTAAAGCCCACGTATATTCCATATGGATATATGGACCCTTTGCGAAGGACTAGAGTGCAGATCAACACCCAAGTAGATCTAAACTCTTATATGAACCCCTTAGTGGATCCTATGTGTGCAGTGTTGGTCTTTATTTTTCTGCCTGCCAGGTGCCCCCCCAAACTTGGGGCCATGAGGGTCTTTTTTGGTTGGATGTGGGCTTGTACCGCCCGCCCCCCCCCCCCCCCCCCAGGATCCCATGACCCAGCCAGTACCTTAAGAACCCAAAACCTACTTTTTTGTAGGTTACCTAAGAATCCTAAGCCTACTTTTTGCAGGTTACCTAAGAATCCTAAAAGGGGCCCTCCAACAACCTGCAAAGAAGCAGAGAATCCTATGAGGGGCTCTATACTACTAACCCACAAAGAAGTAGAGAATCCTAGAACCCCGAAGGGGCTCTGTTCGAATAACCTGCAAAGGTTCACTGTCGGCTTGTTGCTTCACATACCAGGGTTGTGTACCTGTGTGTTATAAGTCACCAGCTTAAACCCTAAACCTAGGGATGTTCCCCCTTATACTAACAGTCCTTAATGGGGATGAAAATACACCAACTTTAGTAAAGACTGTTAGTATAAGGGGAACATCCCAAGTTTAAACCCTGAACCTGCCTTCGCAGGTCATGTGAAATCCTTTTTTCGGCCGTTTCAAGCCACTTCGATCTTGAACCCCATATAAACCTCGACCCTCAGGGTTTAGGGTTTAGGGTTTAGGGTTTAGGGTTTAGCTCTCAAGCCCAGGAACATGTGCATGATGGTCGCTCTGAGCTGGCCGCTCTTCATCATGAGGACGGGCAACAGCCCGATCCTCTTCTCACCGCTCAAGCTGAAGCCCCAGTACATGGTGCTGCTCGGCCCTTGTTCTGGCTTGAGGATACTAATTGCTGATAAGAACCCCCCAAAAACTAAAATGTATTCTTCCTTATGAGGGGGGTATAGGGATTGTCATTTGTTATTCTTTTGGGGCTCTTAAGCTAATTGTAGAACATGTAGGGGTGTACGAAAAATAGTAGAATATGTAGGGGTGTACGAAAATAGGCGACCTCTTGTTAGATAGACCCCCCAAACAGTGGGATTTCCTTCGAGTGAGGGCCCCAAGAAGGTACCCTAACGTCGGGAATCACCATGTAGGTTGCAGTGGTTTCAGAGGGATGCTTAGAGCTGAGGGTTTAGGGTTTAGGGTTTAGGGTTTAGTGTTTAGGGTTTAGGGTTTAGGGTGCGCATCATTCGCTTGCACGCTAAAGCATGCCCTGTTGCTGTGGAGCGAGGTGGCCCTGCACCTTCCACACTAGGCCCCAAACGCCCTAGAAACCCCTGAAGGCCCTAGGCCTCATCACGGCCCTAAACCCTAAACCCTAAACCAAGGTACCTCACGGCGGTCTATTTCAGCTATGGCAGCTGCACCACTCCGTTTCTGCTCGCCTTTGCGCTGCTCCTCGCCCCGTTCTTCTCCAAGCTTCTCACAGGAGCTGTTGGGTTTAGGGCTTAGGTTTTAGGGTTTTGGCCTGTTTGGAGACCTAGCAAGTTCGGCCTCAGCCTTTCTACCGGGGTGAGTTTAGGGTCTAGGGTGTAGGGTTTAGGGTTTAGGGCATCCTGTCAGCAAGTCCTTCTTCAAGAAGGGTATCCTGCATAGGATTTCAAAAACGCCTGGGCTGCCCCAAGTGGCTGGCATTCATCATCATGGGCTTCTTGATGGCCGCTTGCTACCTGCTGGCGCTTCCTTTGCTGATCGCCTTGACACTTAATTCGCCTTTAGTTGAACTTTAAACTTTTTGGGTTTCCTTTTTTGGTAGGAATACTAAAGTTCAACCTTTTTTCCCCTTGGTTATTGGAGAAGTAAGGACATGCGCAGCCTTTCGGCAACCTGTGTGGAAGTGAGATGCAGTTCTAAGTTCCGTGTGCGCAGTTCCGATGCACAGAGTTGAGGGCATCCTACACCCTCTGCCCTATAGGCCCCAAACTACACCCCCTAAACCCCCAAACCCCTAAACCCCGCAACCCCTAAACCCTAAACCCGCGTTCTTCCCTCTTCAGTTGCCCCGCGGAGCATGGCTAGACGGGTGGTTTTACAAAGCTAAGTAGAAATCCCGGGAGAAGCAGCGCGGCTCACGACGAAAGTCTTTGTGAGGAACCCGCTGCTCTGCTCAGAATCTATAACCTTTGAATCTGAAACCCTCAGGCTCCAGGGACTCCTATGTTTAGGGTTGGGGGTTTAGGATTTAGGGTTTAAGGTCTAGGGTCTAGGGTTTAGGGTTAGGGTTTAGGAACTGAAGTGTAGGGTTTACGCTTGTCCGCAAGCCCAGTTGCAGACGATGTGAGGTGTCTTTGGAGCCTAAAACCCAGACCCCTGGAAGGATCCAAAACATAGACCCCCCAAACAGTACCCTATACTACTCTTGGGCCATTCTTAGGAACCCTTCAGGGGATCTATTTTTTTTGAATCCTCCCAGGGGTCTGGGAAGGGACAATCTGAGCCCTGATGCTTGCCCCGAGCTTCCTCGACCCAGGCCAGGCCAGCCCTATGCCCTAAACCAGGTTTATGAGGGCACGGAAGTTTAGGGTTTATAGGGTTTAGGGTTTAGGGTTTAGGGTTTAGGGTTTAGGGTTTAGGGTTTAGGGCCCATACTGAGGTTACTATAGGGGACCATGTCGCTACCTTCAGAACAGATCACGGGAGCCTAGCCTTGGTAGCCCACGGGTGTCCTTTTGCCCTTTTTGGGGTTCCGGGTTTCCTGACACAAGTAGCCAAACCCAAAAAGGGTACCCCTGAACCCTGAACCCTGAACCCTAAACCCTAAACCCTAAACCCTGACTAAACCCAAAATATCAGAGGGCCTACTGGACTACCGCAAATCATGATCCCCTTGGTTCAGGGCTCTGGGGCTTGGGGCTTGGAGTGGATGATCCCGACAGGGTTTAGGGTTTAGGATTTAGGGTTTAGGGTGTAGGATTTAGGGTGTAGGGTTTAGGGTTTAGGGTTTTAGTGAGATATAGGCTTCGACATAACCCTACATCTGGTGGACACGCCCATTAGAGGATTCAAAGGCCAAGCTTTGCCTTGCAGCGACTTTAAAAGAAAGCGTTACAACCCAAGGACTATTCAACGCATTAGTTGCATTCTGGCTCTAAGAAGAGTATGGTGTTCTGTGATCCTAAACCCTAAACCCTAAACCAGTTTAGGCAATCGGGAATGAGTCGTCTGAAGCTCAGGAAAGCTGGTAGTCTTTGGCCTTGCTGCCATGGCCCTCCAGCATTGAAAGGCAAATAGTTCACGATACTAGAACATGGGGTAGGTTTGAACACATGTTTCATTTAATTTGCCTTAATCTCCTATAACCAATAATCTTATAAAGCCAATTCTGTTCCAGTTTTATAGGGTTTAGGGTTTAGGGGCCCCCCCAAAACCTACCCCAGAGAAGATGAGATGCAACGATACGGGCGCCTGTGATGTGAGCACAGAGGCAGAGACGGCGCGAGAAAGAGCCTCGGTTTAGGGTTCAGGGTTTAGGGTTTAGGGTTAAGGCCTAAACCCTCAACCCTACAAACCTAACGGACACGGTGATTGTGTACCAGAGCAAGGTTCCATCGGACCCTTTTCGATTCATTTAGGTATGGCTTTAGTTCGTTAGACTCCTTTCTCTGCACCCGAAATCCTATACTCCGCAAGCCCTACGTCCTCCTTAATCCTTATCCTCTCTTTAAAGCCCCACTGGTTGAGGTTGGAGCTGCCACCTACAAATGCTAAACCTTGAGCCCTAAACCTAAACCCAGGAGCTTTAAGCGCCCCTGCTCGAGAGCCCTACAAGCACTGCTACTGTTGGGGGAAAATGAGCCAAGGTTTAGGGTTTAGGTTTTGGGGTTTAGGGTTTTAGGGTTTTAGGGTTTAGGGTTTAGGGTTTTGGGAGAGCTCCCTCCGCGTGTGGCTCCTAACGGCGTATGGTTTAGTAGCCGACCCTCGGAACCCAACCCTTTTGTTTTCGTAGGCCATGACTATCAACCCCCTTAGAGGATTCTAAGGCAAGCTACCAAAAAGTAGGTCTTGGGTTCTTTCGGCTTGGGGCTTGCTTGCGGAATGCCTAAATTTTGGGTTTTGGGTTTTGGGTGCATTTTGTCAGGCTGGCGGCGGCACGCGCATTCGCTCTGCAGTGAGCCTGTTCTCATCAGCGACGAGAACGTACTGATCCGCAGCTGGCAGGGGGGAGGATAAGCTAAACCCTAAGTAAAAAGTGGCAGGTTTAAACATAATGTTGTTTTTCCCTCAATCCCCCATCTAATCCTTATAAAGCCAAAAAGCTGTTTTATCGGGCCCCAAAAAACCCCAGTAAACCACAAACCCCAAACCCTACACTCATGAGTTCCGTTGTGGTGAAGGAGCACATGCCCTGGAGTGTTTGGAACTGACAACCCTAAACTGCACGCTGGCATCTGACAGCCAGAAACAGCGGAGTTTCCGAGTTTTTGTTTTTTTGCTTGGTGCTTGGGTTACCCACAGTTTCCCTGCAAGAGGTTGCATAAATTAGGCGCCCTGTTGATTGAGAATGGCCCAAGGAACTACATCCCAGACATGCCAAAAGAGTACTTCAGCGCCGCAGACGCACTTGAATGGGCTTAGCGGTGCTTCTGGGCTGGAGTCTGGAGGTTTCGGGTTCAGGGTTTAGGGTTTAAGGTTTAGGGTTTAGGGTTTAATTAGGGTTTAAGGTTTAGGGTTTGGCGCGTCTCACACTTCGATTGGGACATGTTGAAGACCTAAACCACCCAATGCACGCGCAAAGCCTTCACCACGAACCTTCAGTGCTTGCCCCATCTGACATAGAGCCCTGCAAGCGACTCGACCTCTGCCGGGGCGGGGCGGGGGGCTTCTCTCCTTTTGTGGTACCCTTCTTTGCTTTTTGTTCGACCCAACCTGGGCCCCAACCTGCCAACATGTCCCCACCAAGCTTGTCAGGAATGCCCTATTCGCAGGCCAAGTCGGACATCATCAGGCTCCAGATGGCAGTCCTGTCTCTTTTCTTTGGTGGTGGTGGTGGTGGTGGTGGTGGTGCTGGTGGTGGTGGTGGTGCTGCTGGTGGTGGTGCTGGTGGTGGTGGTGGTGGGGGGCTTTTACCTTACTTCCTTATTGTAGTATCCTGCCTAAGAGCGCATAGCCTTGAAGTTGCCACTTCTTGCCGGCCAGCAACAGCTGGAATTAAACCCTAAACCCTAAACCCTAAACCCCAAACGCTAAACGCTGCGGCAGGTATGCACTACTGTACCACCATGGAGGCATCTACATGGACACAGACTTCCTGGTCGTTCAGGACTCGATGACTACTTTTTCTAGCCCTCCTTAACAGGCATTTTAATAGGGGGTACTTATAATCTCTATCAAGGACTGTTTGTCTAACAAGGAACATCCCAACAGGACTCGATGACTTGAACGGTTTTAGGGCTCTGAATGTGTCTTGGGCTCACTCTGCTTGCAGAGGAAGGCTGCAAGGCCTCCCTTCACAGGAACTGAATGAGGTGGTAGGTTTGGAGTAGGGAACCTCTTTTTGTTCAAGCACCCCAAACACTAAAATCACTAAAAAACAGGGGTAACAGGGACAACACACGAATCCCCATCAGCAAGAATCAAGGCCAAAGCCCTCGAGCGCCCCACCAGTGAATCAGAAGCTCACAGCACTGCTGAAGGCTTCAGATTCACAGGTTTAAGGCTCCGGCAGGTTTAGCCACTTTTGATTTAAAAGAGTTCAGGGTTTAGGCCGGAGCAATCCCTGAAATCTCCGGCAGTCGACAGGCGGGGCAGGGCGCCTCTAGCTAAGGGCGCCCCGGCAGGAGCTTCACTCAACTGTCTGGGCCAAAGAAGCCTAGGCCCAGGCCCCACAGGTGGGCTTTTATTTCCCCTTTGTTCAGGACTTGCGTTCTGCTAAGCCCCTTTTAACCAAAAATGGGTACCCTTTTATCCCTACGTTACTGTTGGGTCTAGCCCTAAACCCGATAGCCCTAAACCCGAAATCCTAAACCCGAAACCACGGGATCCTTTTTTCTGTGCCTTATAAGACCTAAATTTTGTACCCTCCCCCCCCCACATGTAAACCGCCAAGTGAACACTTGACTCTAAACCCTAAACCCGGGTGCAAAAAAACCAAGAACCCTTCCTCCGGCCAGCAGCTGTCAGTTTTCAGGGGCTAAGATCCCTGATCTATGGGAGGGCTTTCGTACTACTACCTTTCTTCTTGAGGTCTCAAACCCTATACAATAAGCCCTCCATAGCGCGTTGCGCTGCCGGAGGCCCGGGAGAGAGAGAGAGAGAGATCTGCTGAAACCCACCCTAAACCCTAAACCCTAAACCCTAAACCCTAAACCCTAAACCCTAAACCCTAAACCCTCCGTAGGACCTGGATGAAGTCATCGACCTGACTCAGTCCTACGACTTGGTCTCCTACACGGATGCAGCCCGCAGCGCAATGTAGGTTGTAGGGCTTAGGGTTTGAGGAAGTCTGAAACTAGGAACTTTTTTTTCTATCTCCTTCTCTTGCCCTTCATTAGGGACTCCAAGGGAGCCTATTGAGCACCTCCGCACCAGTAAGGAAGGTTTAAGCTTTTCTCATCTTCAGCGTACAGGGCTTGTAGGTACCCTATATCGCTTCCTAAAGGCTTATATAGGGGAATGGTCAGTTTGGGTGTGTCCAAAAACTACCTGGACCCCAATTGTATAATTTCTGTTCCCGCATATTAGGCACCCAAAGCAAGGAGCTACAGCGAGAGGTCGAGAGGTACCCAGTGCACTCCCACCTAAATTTCGGATATATATATATATATCTTAAATCTTTATCGGGATCCTGATGTGTCTAAGAAATATTCAACATACCCCCTGGGCATACACTTTCAAGAAACTA